CCAAGGCAGCCCTGAAGCAAATGGCCGAGTAAATGTTTATTGTTATATGCCACTGATTTTTTGGTTATTGGTTATATATCCAAAATTAACATGGGGGTTCCAGACCAAGGTCTCCCATTTACTAGTTGAACTAGAATACCAGTATTTGCAACATGAGAGCTTGCATTGGCATGAATTGAATTTCAAGTTCCTTAATGAGACTGAAAATTTATTATTCTTGAATATACCCCTTCGCACAATCTATTTCCAAAAAAAAGTCAGAATATAACCAAACTATGAAGTAAATGCCAGATGTCAATGAAGAAAAGTCTCATTCTAGAATCCGATTAGATTAATTTTATTTTTCTAAAGTACAAAGGATGAGGTTTTATTTTTGGACCATGTTCAATATGGAACCCTGAAAGAGTGCTGAAAAGAAGAAATGTGTCTGGCAAGGAGGGGCACCATGTGAGTGGGCCACAGAGCATCCAGAGGTCAACATGCTCTTTTCACTAAACCAACTTTCAGAGAGTTAAACTTAGGTCATTAGCAGGCTTTATTCACTTGAGACTCTTAGAATATTTTCAGTACCTGTCCATAAGACAAGGAATCCTGGTGGTGCAGTGGTTAAAGTACTCAGCTGCTAGCTATAAGGCCGGTGGTTCAAATCCACCAGCTGCTCTGCAGGAGAAGAACGTGGCAGTCTGCTTTGATAAAGATTTATAGCCTTGAGAACTCTATAGGGCAGTTCTATTTTGTTTTTAGGTTCACTATGAGTCAGAATAAATTCTAAGGTAATGGTTTTTTTTGTTTGTTTGTTTGTTTTGGTTTGGGAAAAGACAATATTGAATATAAAATGGTATAATAAGACTGAGGGAAAAGAGAAACTAGAAAGGGCTAACATGAAAAAATGCCGTCTTTTTGTTTTGTTTTTTATTGTTGCTTGTTAAGTTTCATATTGGGGATTCCTCTTTGCCTGATAGTCTGGAGTATGTCCCATGTATGTTCTATCCCATCACATCTCATGTGATGTCATGACATCATATGAGAATGAGTTTATTTGAGGCATTCACCCGTGACCCCCTCATTAAGGGCCAGGGCCTTAAAAGCTGTAGTGTTCCTTAACTTACCTTCCTAAAAAAATGAAGAAATCTCTTTAATCATCTTTTATACTTTTATTACACACTTACTTAAAAATTCTCTTTGATGTCACAGAAGTCTTGCAGTTAATCAATCATTGTTTTTATGTATGCCAAGAAACCATTTCAACAAGGACATGTATTTCTAAAATCTAAATGCTAATCAGCAAAATTAATACATTTAGTTGTAATGAAATTATTTTTTGAAGAGACTATATATAAGCTAAAACTTGTCATTTAGGTAATAGTTTTTTAAAAAGAAAATATTCTTATGCAATATGACTAAAATGCCCTGGGGAACTCTCAAATCATTTTTTTCATTAAATAGAGCTGAAATTATGCTAACTAGAACATAAGAAAAGAGGAAAACACAGTATAGAACACAGGGGAATGAGAAAATAGACTGTAAAAGGAACACTGATTTGCTCAAGGTTACCCAGTGAGTCAGGAACAAAGGGAAGAATTAATCCTATGCCAAGACCAAACCATACCCACATTAATAGTATGTGCTAAATATGACATTTCCAACAGATAATACATTTATGTTTCTTCTATATGGGGCAAGTTATTCATATTTACTATCCCCTTAGGGCCAAGCAAATAGTTTGTTAAGTATTTTTCAAGTTATTGCTTGCTAATAAAATGATAAATTCCTATCAACCAAAAGTTAAGCATGATCTCACATATATAATCTTATATGATCCCCACAATAACCTCTGATGTAGGTATTATAACTTCCATCTTATAGATTAGTTTAGGCCTAGAAAGCTTAAATAAATTGCCCAAGGACATACTGCCATGGAACCTGGAATATTTTCACCACACCACACTACTCAGAAAACCCTAAAGTTTTCAACTCTTAAGGAAGCACAAAGATGACTGAATTAAGTATAAAAAGTTAGAGCTTTAAAAAAGTAAAAAGCGCTACAAATAATTCAAAACCAGATACAAAGCTAAAGTTAGGGTAATAGGAAGAAAGTGATTAATTTGTTACTTGTAGCTGATTTTACAAGTTGGGATGTTGTTGTTGTTATTTACTGTCAAGTCTGCCCTGACTCCTAGCGACCCCTCCTTGGGTTGCCAAGGCAGTATCACTACGGAAGTAGATTGCCCAACGGTCCTTCCAAGGAGTGGCCGGTGGGTTTGAACTGCCAGCCTTCTGGTTAGCAGTCAAGTGCCTTAGGCACTATGTTACCAGAGCTCCTACAAGTTGGGATACTGTAAATGTCTGTGTAGAATCCGTAGATCCTATTGATAGCTTAATTGTACACACAGGCATCCAGCAGTGAAGCCATGTTGTTGTTGTTGTTGTTATGTGAAGCCATAGGCACCCTAAATAAATGTCTTTTAAATAATATAGATGTCCTTTAAATAGTATAGTTCCACAACAAGGAAGCAATCCTATTTACAAAATCAAGCCTCTGTGCTCCATTTCTTTTTATTCAAAATACTGCTCATCAGCTTTGCCAACAGCTATCACAAAAAATATTTGTTTGGGTCACAGGATTCCTTAATATACACATGGATCCCTGTTTTAAGGGTAGTGAAGCCTCTGTGACAAGGTGTCCCCTACCCAAATCCACATCTGTAAAGTGAGTCACTCAAAAACCAAACTCACTGCCATTGAGCCGATTAGACTCATAGTGACCCCTCCTTGGGTTTTCAAGGCAGTATCTCTATGGAAGTAGATTGCCCAATCTTTCTTCCAATGAGTGGCTGGTGGGTTTGAACTGCCAATCTTCTGGTTAGCAGTCAAATGCCTTGGGCAGTACGTCACCAGAGCTCCCATAAAATGAATATGTAAGCAAAATTTGCTCCCAAACTAAGAGGCAGAAAACAAGGGAAGGAAGAGAAAACCATGGGGCAACATGATACCCAAACCAAACCTAGTATTTGTGAGTCATTTCTGATTCATACTGACCCTGTAGAACAGAGTAAAACTGCCACATAGGGTTATGGAAGCAGAGCAGCTGGTGGGTTTTCACCACTGACCTTTCAGTTAGCAGCTAAGTGCTTGAGCCACTGTGCCACCAAGGCTCTTTGGCAACATGATAGGAGTTAAGTAAGTCCTCAGACTCTATAGTCGGGCTATCTGGGTTCAAAATCTTTGCTCTGCCTTTTACTGTGAGATCTTGACAAGTTACTAACTTCTCTGTCTTATTTTCCATATATGTAAAATGGAGATATTAAAGTCTCATGGGGTTGTTATGAAGATTAAATAAGTTAATATCTGTTAAGTGTTTAAACAGTGTCAGGCATACAGTAACCCTAATACAAATGCTGAATAAGTAAAAGAAGTTAGGAAAAGTGAGAGAAAGAATAGTGGACACTTTGTACCTTTACTGTATTACTTTGCTTCCTTCTACGTACACTTCTACTTTCCACAGCTGGGGCCACTTGATTCTTAATATTAAATTTAGCCCCATTTCTGGCCTGGCTCTATACTGCTCTTATTCAGAAAGTTTTTAGAAGCCCTAGTTCAGTAGTTCAGGTGATTCAGTCTTCAGTCAAGCTTGCTGTTATTCTTATCCTGACCTTGTGTCCCAGTTTTAGTCACTTGTTTCTGTAATCAAGTCCCAAAAACTTGTACTCCCATTCCAGCATTCTACTCCCCTGTGGATGAATTCCTGCTTGCCAGCCCGCTCAGGACTTCCAGTTCCTTGAAAGTTCCATCTCCTAATGGGCAGCCTATGGACTAGACACATTTTGTTTGACACACATAGTGTTTGAACTTTTGAAAATTAGTTGCCTATATTTAAAACTTGCAAAATGGCAGAAGAAAATGAAAAATTTCCAACTTCTTTTGAATCACTGGACAATCTGATGACACTGGGACCCATTCCTCCATGCTAACAACCCACCAGAAATGAGTGGCAGCTGCTGTTTAGAGGGCCGTGTACTCTGTATTCGTCACAGCCCCTACTCTACCTGTTTCATTTGTTTCTGTGATTTGCTTGGTCATTGTGGGCATTTGCAGTTGGGGTTTAACAGTAGGCTGACACTGAACATTTTGTGCCAGCCATTGTTCTACCTGTTTCACATGTTAGGTGATTTAATCAAAGATCAGGAATTAACTTGCTCTTGTTCTACAGTCCTTCCCCTTGCTTCAAAGCCCCTGTCTGCATGGATCTATCACTGTCACATTGGCCCAGGTCATCAACCACCACCCGTCATCCAGGGTCCGCTTATAAAGCCTTGTTAAACTCCCTATATTGACAACCACTCCTTTACACTGTGATCTATTGCCTTCTCCTATCTGCCCTGCTTAGCCAGTCCCTGCTCTCAAGAACATGGGCCATTATAGTAGTTGTAATGCAGGTCCAGGCTTTACTGCTCTGGCTTATATTGTTATTTAATAAACTCCATGTTTTTATAAAATATACATATTATTATATAGTTAGAATTCACCCTAATGGAACTTTTGCTCCAATTATTATTAGAAGCCTAGAAAAATCCATCAAGCATAAACTGATAACTTATGTTCTCAGCACTATCATAGAAAATGGACTAAGTAACTATTTAACAAGAAACCCAGAGATGTCTGTCCATCTCTGCCATGAGCAATCAAGTTCTTCCTAATGAACCACCTAGAAACTAACATTCTTTCAAGAGAATCATCTTTGTTCCATTTATTTTTCATATGATATGGCTTTGTGTTTTATAAAACAGTGAATTAAATATTTCATTCAAAACAGTGAGGGAAATATTTGTATGACTAAACAGAGATTTAGCATATATCAAAAGAAAACTCACATTATTAATACATATTATTTCATAAGATTATCTGGATTGGGTGAAACTGAATATATATCAAATTTTAAATTCAACTGATTAAATTATACAATAGTCTTTAAAGAAAATCTTAACAAAACTGTTACTTACATAAGGAATCGTGTCCAAAGTATCTGTGTTGACAATTATAGGAGCAGGACTGGCCTAAAAAAGAGAAGCAGGAAAAAAAAAAAAAAATGTAAAAAAACAGTCTGTTCCAAGATAGAATCTGTTAACTATTTAACAAAGAGCTCAATTGACCTTTCTTAAGGACCTATACAGGTGCTGTGTCAGATTCTAAGGAGGATTAATGAAATAGTTCACAGCTTTCACGTGCCCACTCTGAGTATTTGCTTGCTATATTTAACACATAATGAAATGAAATAAGCAGCAAGACTTAACAATGATTTTCTCTTAAATTTTACCAACATGTAGGAGGTGAAGATTTGTCTTATACAAAAAGCAAGGATTTCTAAAAAAATTAGGCAAGAATTAAATTTTGTGACATTTCTTTATAAAACAGTAATAACTTTGCTGAAGAAATCTGATTTTTCCTTCAAGGTACAAAATTATACCTAAACTGATATTTTTAGCTCTTGTCTTTAAACTGTCTTTTCAGAGTAGGCTGTTGTAGTTGTTGTTGTTATGTGCCGTCGAGTCAACCCTGACTCATAGCGACCCCTCCTTGGGTTTCCGAGGCAGTATCACTACGGAAGTAGGATTGCCCAACCTTCCTTCCAAGGAGTGGCTGGTGGGTTTGAACCGCCAGCCTTCTGGTTAGCAGTCAAGTGCCTTAGCCACTATGCTATCAGAGCTCCCAGAGTAGGCTGTAGTCAATGCAAAATAAAAGGGTTTGGTTACTGGCATCTTAAATATACATTTCCCTATTTTGCATGTTCCAGCATACCTTTTCTTCATCATTTCTGCACCTGCTGATTACATACATTAGAAATCTTCAAATGGGAAATTAAAAAAAATTAGTCAGAGAAGGTAGAAAATAATATTGGATATACGAAACTTTGTTTTAAAAAATATTTTGTGCAAACTGCACTCATTCCCTTTAAAGTGGAATAGGAACCTGAGTAACACTGATATAGGAGTGCTATGAGCCAAGTCATTAGAAAATAAGAGATTTCAATCTCTATTTGCATCAACCAATCTGACTTCATGAATACTGAGTAGATCTATCTTTATTTTCTGGTTTCTAGAATTTTCAGAGCAACTTTCCCGTCCTCCCCTAAAGGATCTTTAATCTCCTTCTTAAATTACAGATTTCATTTAGATAGAGGAAATACTCTCATCATGATTAATTGAGAGCTGTCCTGTACAACACGGTGGTTTTGTCAAGTGCTCAACTTTTGGGACATTTCATTAGGTGTGCCCTCTGGAGTTAACAGAGTTAACAGCTTTTAAATGCCCATCTGTGCCTGTGGAATCCTAATCAAATGGTAAAATAAATGGCAGTCCAGCAGATTCTACAAAACAAAATTCCATGTTTTAACCAAAAACACTTGCTGACCATAATCCTGGTTGACATATCTACCTCGTGTGTCAACTACATGTTCATGGTACATTCTTAACTCCTGATGGGAAGTACCTTGTGGGTAAATAGGGGCTTTGGATAAAGACAGTGTCCACTGGATTATATATACACATACTCACACACACAACCAACCAACAGACAATAGCAGCAACAAAAAACAATGCTTTTGAAGAGGCATGTCACATAAGGTTTCAAACCTCAACATGAGTTTTGATTCAGAAGACCTGCACTTAAGTTAGGCTCATCTGATTTATGATTTTGGAGCTCAGTAACTTGCTGTGGTGTGAACTGGCAGTAAGACCACTAACCATTTCTGATTCACTGTTCTTTCTTTTTCCTATAGAATGGGAATTGTAATAATCACCTTGCCAAAAGTTGTTTGAAGAGCAAACGAGTTGGAATATTTGAATGCACTTTATAAACTGATTTTTTTTTACATTACTGTCTAGAAGTAATGTCAAATATTATTATTAACAAGTGTCCATGAACATGGATTAGTGTAAGGATATTGCTGGATAGTTGTGAAATGTTTGTACCCAAAGAGTCCTAATGGCCTATGTTAGTGGCTATAATAGCATGGTAGAGGCCTGATTAGATTGTATTAGACTAGATTGTTCTAAGACAACTTTTTACATCAAAGGTAATAATAACAAAAACTTTCAGTTACGAAATACTTATTAGTACCATGTATAGTTACATGTATAAATATACTCATTTAACTTCTGCAAAATCGTATTGAAGAGATATTATTATCATTATCCCTAAGTTATACATGAGAAAACTGAGGCTCAGGGAAAACAAGGGCTCCGATTTGAATACCGGCTTTTCTGTCTCGAAAATCAGTTTTCTCCCCACTATGCTGCTCCACAATCCCCGGATCTAGAATCACAAGAGAAGAACCCCTCATTCTGAAATGATATGAGATTTCTAGACTGAAGCATCATGTAAGATCCAGACAAAACAACAACCCCAGAAGGTGAGAAATAGAGATGCCTCTGGATTTTGCACATTAGATGTTGAGAGCAATTTAGTGATGTCTGATTCTGTGTTTATTTTAGTTTTGATGATGTCTCTCCTATGCTTTTTATTTGGTTTCTATGATTCCAAAATTTTCGGCTTGCCACTTTTCTCCTATTATCTAGAATAGCTTTGATCAATAAATGTGCATTAGTTTGACTTGGGGCTTTCATTTCACTTTTGCTTCTCTCTTATAAATTCTAATTATTTGGTTTGGCAATAAATTTAATATATAAACAGATCTCTTATACAATGCCATTTATCACTTTTCTATGTAATGTTGCTGTTTTCCATTTCATATACATAAATTTGGTCTTTCCAAATCAGACTCTGTGTTTAAAAATGACAAGGTTATGTACTTCTCTAGAATTCTCCACAGCACTTGTGTACACAGAAGGAACACACATGCTTAGTATCTGTTGACTAAATGTAGCTGTAAAGTGTAGATGACAGAACAAAAGGAAGTAACAGCTCTTTCTAGTCCTTTTAGACCCAATTCTAAGATAATGTAAAACTGTGTTTGTTGCTGTTTGCCGTCGAGTCGGCCCCGACTCATAGCGACCCCTCCTTGGGTTTCCGAGGCAGTATCACTACGGAAGTAGGAAAACTGTGTTACCAAAAAATTATGACTAGTTTTCCATTTCCAGTATCACCATTTTTTAACCCATCCTATTACCTAACTAAATTAGCCTTTATGGAACAGTAATTAAACATTTCAAAACTTCAGGATGTGAAGGCTGAGAATCTTGAAGTATGATACATGCACTACAGAAATGTTTTTGCTTCTTTTCAATGCTAAAAAGACCTAGAAGCCACAAATACCTACATCTCTAAAAGTCACTAAAAATTAATGAACAAGCAGAATTCATGGACTGTAGATTGAGCAAGCACGTTGCATACACGCATATATATGTGATGATAGCAACTCCCTGGTGTGAATGCTAAGGGGATAACATGCTTGCCTAAACCAAAAACCAAACCAAACTCACTGCCGTCGAGTTGGATCCAACACACAGCAACCCCTCCTTGGGTTCTGAAACAGTATCACTCCGGAAGTAGATTGCCCAACCTTCCCTCCCAGGAGTGGCTTGTGGGTTTGAGCCTCCAGACTTCTGGTTAGCAGTCAGGTGCCTGAGACACTACATGCTTCCCTACTGTGCTGTAACCCTAGACTCTCTGAAGATTTCTTCTTGCTTTGTCCCTCCCTAGTCTTCTTTCAAAGGAGCCCTTAGAATCTTTTAGGTACTCAGTGGCATATTTATCAGCAGAGAATAAAAATCCAGAGTAGTAGCAAGAAGAAATACAGTAGAATTCCAGGTATGGCGCAGGAGTATGCTCCTCTCTCCAGATAGCCATTTTACCAGAGCTCAGCTTGGATCCTGTTTCTTTGCTCACTTTTAAAATCAAAAGAGTTTGTGCTTAGTTTTGTCAAGTTTTATTTCAGTCTTAAGACCAATTTCTCTGGTCCTTTGACAGCTTCCTCCATGCTTCTTTTCTGCACTCCACAGTATCCTGTCATATATGCTCTAGCTCTCCATACCCTCTGTTTATCAGGTCCCTACATCACACTGGTGACTCAGCAGATTCCAATTGTCTCTAGCCATCCCTTCTCAGTCTGCATGTGTGGAGCTCATTGTGTTCCATCCATAGCTACCCAACTTTCAAGTATCTGGAACCACTGCCCACTGTGGAGCTACAGATACCTATATATTGATCTGTAAAGTGGGAGACACATTCAATATGCTTATGCCCATTAGTTAAAGACGATTCACAACAAATCTGAAAAATCTTTTAATCAGAAGTTTCAAGGCTTATCTTCATGTAAATCTATGCAAGGATTTTGGGTTGTGTTGCCTTTTACATTATATGCTATTCCATGTGAAAAAAAAGCCAGTTTATAAGCAGTGGGAAGAATAAAGCTAATGACAGAGAAACAATACACAATCAGAGAGGATACAATAAAAAATGTAAACTCTTAGATCAAGTTATTCATGAAGCCCAATCACATGACTGTCCCTGAGTTCCTCGGGATATACAAATATTCTTATATTAAACTAATAATTTTAGTATGCTCGTAAAAAATTAGCTTCTGTTGCTTGCCACCAATAGAATCTAACAAATAAATAATCTGTCATAATGAATGAAAATTTCCAAAGGAGTTCATTGATTGTGACGAATGTGGTTACTCTTGATATTTTTAAAGCACCAGACCTGGGAATACGTCTAACGTAAGTGGGTAGCTGGTCACCAGGCACAGTGCAGTGAGGAAATCTCAAGTAAGGTGTTGGGAGGGGAGGTAGTGAAGTCAGTCATCCAAAGAATACACTGACAAGCACAGGTTCATCCATGGGAAGGTCAAAAGCAGAACAAAACAAAAAAACAAAACCTGAACCCAGGCTTTTACCTAAATGTTTAAGCGGCAAAGTTGAAGAGGAGAGAAACGTAGGGAGTCAAGTGACAAGATTCAGCAAGAACTAAGCAATAATATTGATGAGGCAATGAACTGTGCAGGGGTTTCAAATGGTTGCTCTGAGTAATCAAATTGATTACAGTGTTTGTTCCCCACCCCACCCCCCCAAATAATCTGGGAGACATAAAGGTAAAA